ACCGTTGCACAGCTGATGCTCTTTAATTTTCGGGGCACAAACTCGAAGTGAATAGTTTAGTAGGGTCAGATCCTATCTTCACCTTCTCTACTTCATATTTGGGCCCCAATGGTAGGCGCTTAAGTCGTACAGATCGATACGAACTTTACCGCTCAATTTGCCTCACATATCATCGGACGCCCGAGGTGATACATATCTCTCCTCATTCACGTTCGATTCATGTTGTGAGACATTCGTATGAATTGATGTCAATGGCCTATTGCGTGGTAAAGAAGACAACTACACTCGCGACTCATCTGCTCTTTCATGTTTCGAGAAATCATTTCCTCTAGTCTCAGAAGCGGTATACAGCGGGCGACGCTTGCTCACCTGTTCGATAACATCGTTTCTGACTTTCTGCCTCCATCATCAGATCTTCTAAACATATGGATGCAAACGCTCATACTTTGGAAGCACACGCACAAGGACAATTCAATCTCAGTCCTTCTCTGTATAGGCAGCCTGTAGACTCTGAGCTTTTAGCAGGTACCAATCGCACCAGGGTGACGGTATTTCCCACCTTATCTCCACGGCAAGCGGTAGTGATGTGATGGCTACTACGCTATCCTTCCATTCAAAATTCAAACCTTTCCCTTCTTAGCGTGCCACTTCGCGCGATCGAGTACGGCGAGCGCGATGCGAATTTCGGAGAGTAGCTGCCCCAACCAGCTCACCGCAGACGGTGTCCACACTTGGCATACATGGTTATCCTATGAGTACACAGCTTTTCGACTATCGAGTCGATCAACCACATCAAACGCAACTCAAAAGTCAATCATTTAAAGTATAGAAAATCACTTTTGGTTTCGTATATCAGCTCCTGCTGTTCTAGTTGGCGCGGCTGCTGGGCGAAGTAAGTGAAAATGCTTGGCAGGTATATTGAATTTCGGCGCTAGCGTTCATTTGTCCTCCTATAATGCAGAGGAGTAATCACGATAGCCAACTTCTGTTACCAACTTATTGAATAAACACGCACTACGTTTTCGGTCGAATACGCAGACGGATCAGTAGATATAGTTTTCGGACGAATACTTCTTGTGCAGACGAATCAGTGATGTAGCGTTCACGACATGCTGGACCCTGTGCCTCTTAAGAGATGCTCAATTGGGGGTTGCAAAGGGGTTTCTGTTGTCATATATCCAGGAGTCGCTTCTTTTTATGGTCATCTGATCCGATCTTCGAACATCGGACTCGGTAGCAGAATCTGAGACCCAACAAGGGATTTCGAACCACTTTATGAGAGAAACCAAGCTGTTTCTGTGAATTTGCAATCTTATAAAATTTAGAAAATTGAAAACTTCTGAGGGATGAAAAAACCAAGTAAAACAGTGTGCCGTGCTCTTAATTTAAAACGTGCGTAATAACCAACCATCATTTCTACGAAATTATCTCCTAATTAAGATGAACTTATCCAGTGACTCACTGTGAAGAGTGAGGATGCTATTGAATCTAGCACAAAGCTCCTCTTGCTCTGAATTGCATCCACTTCTTTTAGCAAATAGCCACAAACTGTCTCCTCAATGTAGCCTGAATTTCTGTGTTTCCGAAACGTCTCTGAGAACCTTCTGAATTTGTTGAAGGTTGGCCTGGACGTGATAGAATGCATTAGGAGAATGCGATCGGTAGGGTCTTATTTTACTAGTGCCTATTCCAATGAGTGGCTTGTAAGAAAGCTCGGAGGTCAGCAACAAAAAAACAGCGCACAAAGAAGGAGCAGAGGTGGAAGGGAATGTGAATGGGCTACAATTTTTCTCAGATAGAGCAGAAATTTTTCGAAACTACTGAGAAGGTTTAAAAACTTATAACTTTGCAACTATTCCAGAACAGGTGCTCCCCAACATAGCTGAGCCCTTATATTTTTTGACATTGCAGTTACCTTTAGCGACTGCTGCCCTACTTATCCATACCTGACTCGGAGCTATTATTCAAGATCGATCCTTAGTTGCGCTTCATCCGAAGCATATTTTCCCTTGTAGTAACTACTATTTTTCCTTGATTGTTCCTTTGTGAGACTGTTCTAGGTCGTGTTGTATTTCTTTTTTTACTCATTATTTATTTATTTATTTTTATTTATTTATTTTTACTTATTACTTTTCTATTTAAAGTCTCCACCTACGGCGCAAGAAGTCAGTCGAGTGATGTAGGTTTTCGATGATGCTGGAGCCTTCATCTTCATTTGCTTCAGCTATTTGAGGAGCCTGTGAGACGACGAATGCTCCCGCTCAGGGTCCTTTTGGCTGCTCGCCTTTGTTCCCTGATGCGTTCATACAGGGCTGAGATGTCAGCAAGCCCCATGGCGGAGCTACATACCTTTCACACATAAGGAAGGTTTCAGTGCGATGCAGATGATGACTTCATGCGATCTTCTTCCTCTGTTCTCTTGGTTTTAACAGAGAGATGTTTCGTCGTGGCCCCCGTCCTGTTCTTGGTCTCATTCTTTGCCTCGAGTCTCTCTTTTTCTTCCTCCATGTGAGCTTTTTCTTCTCCTTATTTGTTCATAGAAATTGTTCGGAGTTCATGCTTTTATTTTGTGTGGCACACCCTTGGGTGAATTCAAATAAATAAATAAAATAAATAAATAAGTAAATAAATAAACAAACAAATAAATAAATCAATCAATCAAGGTACTCAGCGCTAAAGAGCACTAAAGCTTCGAATTCTTCGATGACCTCTCAAATTTTCAGAACGTTTTACCAAATTGAAACGACATTTACACTATTCTTCGCATTTTTTTGCAAAGTTGTCTCGCTGATGCTCTTGTTCAGGCCCATTTTCAAGTTGACAGCAATCCAGATGGAGCAGATTTGGAGAGAATAGCAAGTATGACAGGACTGAGCAAACGGGTAACTCAGGTTTGGTTCCAGGTAAATTAGAACATGGAAGGAATAGACGTTCTTTTAAGGTTAGTAATTGCTTTCATTGTAGAACTCAAGAGCACGTCAGAAAAAATTTCAAAGTAACCGAAAAGCTTGCGAAGCGACGCTGGAAAATATTCATTCAATAAACGGTCCTGTGAGTCCCAGCCAGAAAAGCGAAGCCAGCAGCGATGGAATTTTTCCTTCGTCCGTCTTGACAAGGTCGTTTCAATTATACCTTTGCATTCATCGGTCACTGACTCCCAATGTTTCAGCGCAGAAGAAGCCATTGTTGATTCTACAGCCATGGGACCTTTACAACGTTACGAGTAAAGTGTTCGTTTTCTCTTGCTACCCTAGATGCTCTTCTACTCGGTAATCCAGTAACTCGTCCTTCAGCTCGAAGACAGCTCGGCAGTCGAAGATCGAAGTCGCGTTTTGCGAGGCACAAGCGCACGCTTATATATCCTTCCGAAGTATAAAGACGGCAACGATTAACTAGGGGGTAACAAAATCCTTTCGAGTGGACTTCCAAAAAAATCTAGGAAGAGATGGGAAGTCGGTCAAATGGGCTGAACATTCGCGACGAGCGCAGTTTTCGCGAAGCGTTCCCCACAGACGGGGATCTTATTAGCTTCACCGGCCGTGGCAGCCTATATGTGCTGTCACCGTCTCAGGAAACGCACAAACTATGGAAGACGACGATTTTTTTTGCCNCAGCTCGGCAGTCGAAGATCGAAGTCGCGTTTTGCGAGGCACAAGCGCACGCTTATATGTATATCCTTCCGAAGTATAAAGACGGCAACGGTTAACCATAGGGGGTAACGAAATCCTTTCGAGTGGACTTCCAAAAAAATCTAGGAAGAGATGAGAAGTCGATCAAATGGGCTGAACATTCGCGACGAGCGCAGTTTTCGCGAAGCGTCCCTCACAGACGGGGGTCTTATTCGCTTCACCGGCCGTGGCAGCCTATATGTGCTGTCACCGTCACAGGAAACGCACAAACTATGGAAGACGACGATTTTTTTCTTTGCCGATGGGAATCGGTTGTACGCTAGTTTCTAATTATTTTACTGATGTCGAGACTATCGAAAAATTATGATATAAGCAAATAACAAGCAATTATCAAACATCGAACAAAGAAACGACTGTGATAATAACTTCCAATGGGCAATTCAGCAGTGTATCATTGATGGTGTTTACAAGAAAGAATGGGAGCGTGCATTGGCAGGCAAATGAATTGCTTCCATAAAATCGCGTTTTTGATGTAGCATTGAGCAACGGGTTTTCTCAAATTCAATTTTGCTTATTCATGAGGCTTACAAACCTGGCTCAATAATAAGTATGATGCTCCAAGCAGTTTATTCTTCCATTAGGGAACTATCGGGGAAGACCGTGTTCCTCATAATCTGTGCTGCAGCGGTAATTTACGCAATAGTGAATGGGTAGAGTATGTGGCAATCTAAGTAATCATGCTGTAGAGTAGGTCATAGACTTCCTGGAATTAGGCATGAGAAGCATTCTTCAATACAACAGTCTGATTGTAAAGTTGATTCGACGAAATTTGACTGAATACCGTTGCAAGAGCTAGTAAATCCGCTCCTACCATTAGTTTGGGGATAGCTTGTGAA